CTGCCTTGCCTTTATCGACACACAGTTGCTGTGCCTGCAAATCAAACTCTTGTTAACTTGCACTATGCTGCAGGATACTTTGATCTCTGAATCCTTGCAGCAGTTTACTGCAACAAGCGGCAGAGAAGAAACACTGTTATTTGAGGAGCTGTTCCATTTGCTCAGAACATCAAGCATCATGGTGGTCACAGCTCTTAGTAGCTCTCACTTATGCATTTGCCGCGCCTCATGGCAAGCATGTGCTTTTTCTAGGAGTGCCTATTTTTTAGGCAGCCATCACTGCACTTACCTTCTCGTGTGCCTTATACGGTTAAAAAACATTTTTACAGAATTGCATTTCGTGCACTTAATGATATTACTGACACCCTCGCTTTTACCACCAATAGAATTATGCTTGTCAAAGGCCAGTCTTAATGGTCAGCAGCAGTTTTTAAGATTTATATGCGACTCTCCACTTGGTCACATCAAACTTGTTTTATTAGGATAGGCACGTTTATTTCACAGTGACTTTCTGCTCATTGTGAGCAACCAATGCTCTTCTCGAAGCTTTGTTAATAATTGTGCCGTTTGTCATGAAATGTTGCATGAGTGATAAAATTTTTTTTTCCTTTTTTTCTCAGAATGTCTTCAGCTAGGCTGGGGTTTATACACTGTAGTAGTAATTGAAGGACCTTTACTGTGTGAAGATATTGATTTGTCAGGAAATTCTGCTTCTTTTGAACAGGAAAAACACTTGGAAAACACATGTCTTGCTTGCATCGTAAAGCTGTAGTAGCCTTATATACAAGTACAGAGGAACGTAGCAAAGAGGGGGGAAGGGTCAACTTGAAGACAAGGATATCTTGTTAATTCGGTAACAATTAAGTATCTAAGTATGTATAATAATGTAAGATATGCATTCGGTAAAAATTTCATGTGTAGGATAGTGATAGGCCTGGTGGGACCAAAATAAATTTGGCCGCTATTTTCAAGAAGTTACATTGTTTTTGTATAGTGAACAGATAACATGTTTGTTGAAGGAAGCAGTATGTTGCTGCATCATTGATTGGTTAATGTGTGCCCATCAAGAGCGATAAAGCAAAAGACAACAAGGGACCTCAAGAAAGTTAATGTGAACATGCTTACCTTGTTAGTGTGTGAAATGCTAAGACATTCCATAATAACGGTGGGTCATTCAGAACATATCTTGGGAGCTTGTGCTGTGGTACCCCCTACTACTAGCTTTAATGTTGCAGCTGTGCAGCTAGCTTTAAATTTACATATTATTGAGGAGAGGAGGTTTTATCCATGTATTTACATTATTTGTGGGAGAAAAATACTATTTGATATACACAAGGTAGCTGGGCTATGGAAACACCCCTTGGGAACCAAAGTTTTCATCTATATTGTGCCTAGGGAACAGGTTTTCTTGTGTCCTTGTTGCATCATGCATACTATGCATTTCATTTTGTCTGTTTTAATAACCTAAAGACCCAAAGGCCTTTCATGAAGAAGTGGTTGTCTTCTTTTTAAAAACAAAACATTTCTGTCATGGTGTTCTTGAAGCCTGTAGTGTCTGGAATGCAGGCATGGAAAGAAGCAAGTGGTTTCAGTTGTAGGTCATGCGTGGTGGGAAGGATAGTAAAATAGGTCAACACGGCATACAGCACGGTGTCTTGAGTGCAGATGAGGTGTAAAGGGACACGAAAGTGAAACAGTGTATTAGTAAATATACTTTGGAAATGCTAATAACATTAATCCACCATCATAGCTTTATTATTTGAAGAGAAAATCAAGGTCAGTGTTTCCTGTCTAAATTTTGCGCTGAAATCGCCGCATGCGATGTCATGGAAAGTATATTTTTCATATTTAGGCGACACTGGCTCCTCGTGACACTGGCTTCTAGAAAATTTCTTAAACTTGCATATAGATCAAGTCTCTGGCACCCTGAGAAGACAATCTACTACATGTTTACCAATTAGAAATTACATAGGCTTTTGTAGATGCTGCCGAAATCTACAATGTTGCTGCAACTGCTGTGGGAAGTTCAATGTAGGATCCCCACCTGCAATTTCTTTTTGCATGCTTTCTCGCTTGTCAAGTATTTTGGTGGCAAGCGTGATTTTTTTGGTGTTGCGAAAAAGTTAGACTAATACCAGAAAAATAGTTTGCTCTTCTGTGTTCCTTTAAGTTGACTTGGAAAAGGAAGGAAAGGGCACGAGCATTTGCCATACGATTTGTCGAATGTTGTAACTTTGTACGCGGGATTCTATACCATGAAATGCACTTGGAGATGCTTATATTTTGATATATTTACGTTATGTGCTGTTCTCTTTTCCTGCTTTGGCTGCAAAGCTAGGCTTACTAGTCTAAAACCTGTGATCATATCAATATAAGCTGGCTGGCTGGGCAGCTAGTGTAATTTCTTCGTTTTGCATCGTGCTCTTAAAGAATTACTCTGCTGCTCTTGTTTTTTTTTATATACTACTGGTATCCTTCTCTAGAAAGACGCCCGTTCCAAACTTGTATCAAGTTTGTGTGTTCTCTTCGTTATTACAATGTGCCTTTCTCTCGTTTGCCTAGCTATTGATAACCTTGTAATTACGTTTGTAGATGAAGCGTGGCAAGTCTAATATCTTCAACCGTTGGAAAATATTTACATAGTGGCACCAATAGTTGTGTGTATTATAGTGGCAAGTTGCTGATGCCTACTGAATATGTAGTATCTCTTGTAAACATGAGCAATTGATGAAATGTTGTTCAGGCCTTATGCAGAAAATGTGGAAGGATTAATAGCATGTTTGATCATCTTATTTGTGATTTCTTGCATGTAAATGCAGCGATGTCGAACTCTTTTACTTTCAGATAGAGCTGTCATACTTACAGTACTGACAGTAATGTGCCACGTTCAGTTTGTCAGTGAGGATTCAAGTTTTTTTTTTAATAGCATGAAATATCCTGACAGAGAACGAGACGTCTTCCAGCTTTACGCTTGTGTCTGATACACTGTCTTTGAAATGGTAATATCATGTATTTTTTTATTTTGCTCTTGAAGCCAGGCTTCCTGATAATAGCAGCTTGTATATTGCACCCTTTTTGCTGCATTAGGAGTAACAAGTTTAGGTTAATTCGGTCTATAGCAGTCATAGAAGTGTAATCTTCATTAATTATGATATCAGGGTGATCCAACAGACAATCATGTTAAGGAAAGTACAGAGAATGTTATTAGAAGTAAATGTAATAACATCCCCTATACTTTCCTTGACATGATTGTCCCGTTAGATTTCATTATTGTTGTGTCTAACAAAGAAAAACAAGCCCTTAAGTGTACGCTTCGTTCTTTGATTAGTTTTGGTGGTTCTTCATTTCATCTGTGCATGAAGGGCTAACAAATAGTAAGGGTGCCTGACCCCCGTGTTGACAAACGCTCCTCGACTCGGCTTCCATCCTTCACTTGACAGAGTTGAGCACTGCGTCACTGCTCGGCTGAAAATGACGCTGCGCAACTCAAGAATCGCAGCAGATTATCGCTGATTTGCAGTGACTTGCCGCGCCTAAAGACGGCGCTTCCATCGGCTTTCTCAAGTTAAGGTGAAGCGTTGAGTGATGGATTGTTCTAGAATATGGGGGTGAAACTTTCAATTCTAATTAAACTTAGCGTGAGTGTCAATTTAGATTTCCCTAAGGCTTGAAACTCGTAACTGCTTAAGACAAACATTTGATGTTTTGTTTACTGGTATTATGGTATTGTGAAAGTATTGTTCTGTGCACCCTTTCTGTTTGGTTTGCTGGTACATTCTTTTAAAGCAGTCCCTAGCTACTGATGTAGAACTTATTTGTAGATTAAGATAAAGGATAATACGTACTTGTCTAACTAGGGAGGACTCTAAAAGGATTGTTCAATGTTCGTGCACTGTGGGAGATCTGTTGTCGCCCCTGGTAATGTTTATGTTCAAGTCAAATCTAGTGTTTATGCTTCCGGTTCATTTGTCGCCGTTTTGTACATATCTTATATATGTATTTATTTTCTGTGGTATTGTGATGTTCCCTGGCAAGCTTATTTTTGTACATCGCTCCTCGTGTTTTTAAAGCATGTCTTCAGATTTATATAGTATATGCTATGCACGTTAAATGTATGCAGTGGTTCATATTTACCTTGCAGGTTTATCGTTTTCACATATGTTGTAAATTGTGTAATATTTGCATATTTATTGGATATTGAAATGTTTGACAGCACTTGGAAACCTCATAGTAGAGTGCATAGTAGAGCGCGACTCGAGTAATGACCTTCTCCGGTCGAGTAATAACCTTCTCCTCCAGTTCGGAGAAGGTTATTATTACTCGAGTCGTGGCAGATACAGAGGACAGCCCATAACATCAACCGCTCTCTCGGAAACCTTCCCCCAGTGTATACACATGGACTGCACTCCACGGCAAAACGAGAGAGAGGGGGGTCATTATCCACCCAGCGTGTGCTTTGAAGACGCCGCTGCTACGTAGTTTCCGCAGTCACCCCTGAGGAAGGAACCAAGTCGGTTCCGAAACGTCGGGTTCCTTCAAAACGTTTGGTTGAAGTCTAAATCATCTCCCAGTTTCATACCCAACCAGACAGAGTTCTGTCGAATGTTTACATTCAGGATGCCATGTGTGTCGTTCTGCCGACGACTTGCATTGTGCCAAGAAAGGAGTCAGTTCCTCCTTTGATTTCGTGCTGGGGTTTCTTCATTCCCGCTGCACAATGAGAATTAGCCAAGCTAGCAGCTGATTTTGTGGCTTACGCCCAAACTATTATTTACCAAAAAATGCCTGATATTCCACTTTTTCTACCAATTCTATGTTATTGTGCCAAGAAGAGACTAAGGATACAACAATTGGATCTCTATATAACAAATATAGATACTATAGAAAAGTAGCTGAACTTTTCTTATACTTATACAGTGTTAAGAATGTGCAATAACAAAAAACTTTTACATGTAACGAAATCAATTTCGTATCCAGTTGTAACTTAGCTACGAGGCATGAGCTTAAAAAATAATTTTTTCTGGGGCTGAAACAAGTAGCCATAGTAGCACATTAACACAATAATGAGGTTATTCGTGACTGTTCAAAATAAACACAGAACTCGCAAGTTTGGCGAACTTGCACTCGTTAACGCTTGTGGACTCTTTCAAAGTTGGCATGGGAAGTGGGTCACCTACCCATGGTGTTTAACGTAGAGCACTTAGGTTGAGTCGAATCTTCAGAACACACGGTGCTTGGCATAATTTTGCACTACACGTTCCTACACTACACGTTCCTTGCTTATATGTTCCTACTACTGCACAACGTGTATCTCCAGCTGGAACCAAATCTTTTCGTCGCACATTATCACGTTTGTGACCATGTAGGTGTGTTAAGAAGAGTGTGACTGCCTTAAATAAACTCATCATGTTGTTGCACCGTGTGTAATTAACTGTAAAACTTTTGTGGGGGTCATTATGATTGATAGGTGTGTTCTCTACAGACGCCTGCTTTGATATTATATGAATAAACATTTGTTCACTGCTATGAACTGTCACAATTTCCCCCTTGAACTATTTAAACATATCCTCTCATATACAGACGCTTCTCTGCTGTGCGAAATTGCAATGTATGAGCCTCTACTACATGTTGCATGTTTTGGTAATACTGGCGGCAAGGACATGCCGTGGCACCCTCTGCCGAATTATCTCTGTGACGTGGTACTGACAGTGCGCAATGTTCGACGTCTTGAGTGATTCAAGTTTTTCAGTCATGGCTTTTATCTATTTCAAGTGTTTAACGTGTTCATATTAGATGTGTAACTTAGATGTGTATTAGATGTGTAAACTAGTGTGTTTGCCAACAAAGGTTTTTAACGAGCCAACGTGCGGTAATCGCCACGTCATGGACTTTTGATGGAGCGCGTGCGCTTGGTGCCATGGATGCCCAACGTGAAGAGGCAGTTTGATAAAAGGTAAGTTGTTGTGAAATTCACATAGTAATCTGTAAATCGAAGCATTATCGCATCTCCCACACATTTATATTCACTGTGGCAAGCGCTACGGCACGCACCTGTCAATTGCTTTTGCACGAAAAGTGCGCAGGCAAGAGGTAACATTCCGATCTGTTCCACGCACAATTTGGGGCTATACCTCGCCCTAGTTTTCAGTGCGCTAATCAAATGGCTGAGGGCAAACGATGCTTTGACATTGGTTATCAAGTTCGCGTGACCTTTCATGAAGGTAGTTGTGAGCTCTTCTGCCACTACAACTTGCCGTTCTTTACAACCTGGGTTTGTACTGCCTTTAACTAGAATGATTTATAAAAAAATATACGTCAATACGGGGAACTTCACTCATGCATATTTTTGTCTCTTTAATTTTCGCTTTCTGAATACATACGCTTCTCTGCGCGTAGTAGTGACTGATGTGATATGATGCGAAAACGTTGCAATACTTTTTCTCATCGCTTGTACGACTATTTTGATTGCGATTGCCGCATCTCGTTTTCAGTGACTCTGCCGGTGTCTGGAATCCACCAATTCGTGTACCAGTGGCTGAGCATATTACGGTCGCTGACGGGAGGAGAGACGTTCGAATATGCAACACAAAAGAACCGCTTCAGCTCAAGATTACCGTTGCCGCCCTTGTACTGCAGACAGAGAAAAAAAGCCTTCCAGCCTGGTGTGAATAAACGTTGCAAATTCGTATGTGTACATTGTCGAAGAGTCTTTTATCGTACTTAGCCCCATGCAATGCTCTACACACAAACTTTTTCACAAAAGTGCTTGTTGCCCACGCGATTATGAACGGCGGATTGCTTCCCTATTATTGATCGTGCATCTCGCTACTTCTTGGTTTTGGGGGGTATGCATGGAAACTCGCACCGGGGTGGGAAGTAAAGACCGCATAATACGTAAAGTTCTTTAACCATCGAAGTGCCGAACAAAATGGACGCAGCGATACCACTGCACTTCGGGAAAAATACATCGTTCTTTCCAGGCTGGCTCAAATAAACGTAATCAATTTCTATTGCGTACAGATCCGCGAAGTGAAACGTCGTATTTACCGAACATTTTTACTCAAATTACTACTGTTACCACTGCTACTAGCGGCGGTGGCACTGAGTAGACATCAGCGCCGTGAAAACGAAACCGTAGCGTTGAAAGTATAACTATACATATAAAAAAGTAATTCATCGTTACTGGACAGTGATCAGGCCAACCCGACCAAGTGGTGCTCCGCCAACAGAAACCCCAACAAGGGGGATCAGCTTCGGCCCGTCCAGAGAGCCCACAATGTGGTGGTAAAGGCTTAGCCTGCCCGTCCCAACGTGGGAGAAGCCCACTGCGCGCTAGTTGCCTTTCTCAAGGCTACTAGTAAAGTCCTATCATGCATCCATCGTGGCTCATCATTTTCCCGCAAACCAAAAATACCTAGCCGGCGTTAAGCATAGAATGTAGTGGCGTGTCTTTAATAGCGGCTTATAAGTATCGGCATTCGTTGGGAACTCTCTCGCCAGACGCCTTCCCGCACGGAGTGTCGATGAACCGTTTTCGCGCCTTGTACATGACCATGCAGCGTCGGTCGGGCGGAATAACAACGGCAGGACTGTGTCCACCGCCCATGACGCAGCTCAGCGCGCAGTGCATGACGAGAAAGAGCTGCTTGCTCGAGAGCCGCACCCCTGGCAGCGTCTGCGCGTAACCGCCATCAGAAGCATTGGAGTGGCGGGCTCTCTGGAAGGCCAGGTAGGCTATCCTGGAGCCCAGGAGCTCGTCAAGACGAGTCTCTTTAGGGAGGTCGCTTTCCTCGAGCCTGCTCTGCCGTCGAGTGTCATTCTGCGCAGGAAAACAATCCAGAAAAAAATTAAACATTTTTTTACCTGGTCCCCACTTAGCTGTCTGTTCAATCTGGTCGGTCCGACACCATCGCGCTGGTGCGAGCTTTAATAATCAGCAAAGTTATAACCTCTCTTATTTCTTGTTAAAGGAGACCAAAATTCAGATGAACCGCACTAATGGGAACAGCTTACAAAACGGCAGTCAGCTTTCTTCAAACATACATGCAGAAAAATTACGCCGAGGCAACTACGACAATACGAGATAGACTCAGCCGTACTGCAGTGGGCAGAGGTACATTAAAGAGGGGCGGTATTCTGCCCTACCCTGAACACGTGGGCTTCTTCAGTTTCCTCATTTCAATTGAGCAATCATTTTCTTTCCTTGTTTTCGTTGTCTGCTGGCTCTTAAGACTGCATAGCGAAATCACGTGCGTGGGTTTCGTTTCGATACCTATGATCTTCAAAAGTTAACGTGAACATATGCTTTACTTACCTCACTGTAACCGGCGTAAAGACAGTACACGCTGCTGCCAGTCACTTGGTCATCTCCGTCCCAGAAACGACGCCAGCGCTCCCCTACGGCCGGATCGTCGTGTCGCCGTTTGATCAACTCGTGCGCCATGGCTTGTGCGATGATCTGGGGCACGGTGGAAGAATAATAAGTTATTCTTCCACCGTGATCTGGGGTAATGCGCCAATGTTGTCACGTGATCGTACGCTAAAAAAATGCAGTCTCTTGAGCTAACACCAGGGAGTGCACTGGGAAACACCCGTGCCCCCATAAACTTATAAAATAAAAGATTAAGGAAGTTTGACATTAGTGGTACCAAGTCTGAAAGGACTGGGAAGCTAGGCAGCCTGCCTTGTTTCTCTTTACTCACACTCTCTATATTTCTTTCTTATCCCCTTTTTTGTCACTACATGTTTGTTTCGCTTTGCCTTTCTTTCTATGTCAGTGTCCTTTCCCATTTCGTGCTTTCTTTCTATCTATCGCTTCTATCTATCTCCCTCTTGACATACTTCTCTCTTCTCTTCCTTCTCTCTCTCACTTTCTAATATGCTAATTTCTATCATTTTGGGTCTTTATTTTTCTCCATCCGTCTACTTATATCAGTCTTCCTATTTCTGCCATTTTCATCCCTCTCTATTTCTCCCCTTCTCTTCCTTCCCCTCTTTTTTCTTTCGGTGTCTCTGCATTGGGTCACTCACCCAAGAGGAAGAGGAGAACAACGGTATTGCGTGCCGGCTAATGGTCGGGATAATTTTCTCGTTCTGCGCATATTCACACAATTCCAACGCGCACCCGATTTACATGAACCAAAAAGAAAAAAAAAATATGAGACCCCATATTCTAACGTGCACCCGTTCTAACGCGCTCCTAACGAGTGCGTAATTTTCACGAACGAATGAAATGGGCAAATATTACGTTAATTCGCCGGCTCTTCTTCGATATCTGGAAATCGCTCCGCGTGCTGACCGTGGCGGCCTTTGCTCGAAGTTGTGCACTCGAAGATCGACTTCGGCAGCTTGTGCCAGTCGCGAACGCCAAGTGTACGGCACATCGAAATGACAGCCTGCACTTGTGTGTTGCCGCCGTATTTCGTGTGAAAATCACTTAACGTTTGAAACAACGTATAACGTCCGGAATTATCGTGGCAAACACGACGCATTTTCGCGGTTGCTGCACCCCATTCTTCGACGAGTTGGCCCCCAGATCGTACAATGACAGCACGACGCCCATTGCAAACGTCTGCAGCGAAGCAGGAAGCCGCAAGTAAATGTGCTTTCATTGTTGCCAGCAACAAATAAATGGTCACACGCCACAAAACGGCCATGACGATGGGCTGCAAATGTTGCGACCTTCGTAGAAGCCAAGTCCGCCTGTCGAAAATTTGCCTCAAGCGATGCCACGCGTTTACGAAATTTATAAGTAAAAAAAAGAATTGACATTCCAAATTGGTTGCATTGTCATTTCCTATCATCTTGGAGTTTTTAAACCGTCACAACTGCTTCTACATGTCATTTAGACGCATGTTAAAGAACTCCAGGTAGTCGAAATTTTTAGAGCCCCCCTACTACATGATGATTGTTATAGCGCGAGAACAGAGCGACGACAAAGAGACAAGAAGTACACGAGGCCTATTTGTCGTCATTCTGTTCTCGCGCTATAACTATCGTCATGTCATACTAACTAGCCCAAATTGCCACACCCCCACTACAGCGTCTCTCGTATTCATATGGTGGTTTTAAAAGGACGTTAACCCGAACAATTATTATTACACATCGACAGTTGGTTGCAGAGGTGTTCATTCCCACATGGCCCGTGTTTAATTCGCTTTCACGTCGGCATTATTCTTGATTCATATTTCATTCACATTTATCTTCTATTTAACGGCTATAGAGTCTTTTAACGGCTATAGAACCTTGCGCCAGCTCACACAAAAAAGACAACGAACTTATCGCGCTTATTGCAGAAAACCTTCAAAAGAGACAGAGAAAAAACTGAAAGAAATAACTCGTGAAGTTAAAGAAGCAACACGCATTGCCAAAGACAGTTATTCGGGAACTATTCAAACAAGACTAAAAGATAAACCGAAAGTGTTCTGGAAGCACGTGAAGCAGAATGGCAAGGATGTTGTAACTATCCCTCCACTCGTGTCTGGTGACGTCATTGTTCGCGAAGACGCTGACAAGGCAGAATGCTTTAACGCCTACTTCTGCTCCGTCTTCACTCCTGCAGTAATGCCTTCTGAAGACGTCCCACCGGTACTTGAAACGATAAGCGACATGGATGATGTTGTCATATGTACACACGGCATTGAATCGTTGCTTCGAAGGCTCGACTCTTCTAAAGCGTGTGGTCCTGACGACTTACCCAATTTCCTGCTTAAATCATGCGCTGAATCGATAGCAAAGTACTTGAAAGTTATATTTGATAAGTCACTACTCGAAGCTTCTCTTCCTGATGATTGGAAAGCAGGTATTGTGGTCCCTATTCATAAGTCCGGCCCTAGAAGCGACGTTTCAAACTACCGCCCGATATCGCTGACATCCGTTGCATGTAAAATAATGGAGCACATTCTATTCACGAGTATTGTTGCTCACTTGAATACTCATTCTGCGATTACGTCAGCCCAACATGGATTTCGTAAAGGTTTTTCCTGTGTTACCCAATTATTGGAATTCACAAATGATATTGCTTCTGCATTAGATAAACGGCTTGCGGTTGAATGTATTTTCCTCGATTTCAGGAAAGCTTTCGACACAGTACCCCATTCATTACTCATTGAAAAGATGCTCACATATAAAATAAATCCGGCGGTTGTCTCATGGATTAAAGAATATCTAACGTTACGCCGGCAATTCGTGGTTGTAAATGGGGTTCGGTCACGGGCACAAAGCGTTTCATCTGGTGTACCCCAGGGCTCCGTCCTGGGACCTTTGCTGTTATTATTGTACATCAATGATATTGGCGACGGTTTGACATCACAGTTGAGGCTGTTTGCAGATGACTGTGTGGTTTATAGGATCACTAACGGTACGGAAGACCTCAACCTGATTCAACAAGACCTCGATCGAATCAGCACATGGTGCACTAGGTGGCGCATGCAGCTAAACCTCACGAAAACTGTCAATATGACATTCACTCGAAAGAAGAACCCTCTAAATTACTGCTACACCCTGAATAACATTGTAATTGGTAAAGTAACCGAATTTAAATACTTAGGTGTTTGGTATACCCCAGAATTATCGTGGCAGAAGCAGGTTAACTACGTAACCGGAAAGGCGGGAAAAATGCTGGGCTTCATTCGCAGGAACTCTGGTGCATTCAGTCAGTCCACACGTGAGCTACTCTACAAGACGTACGTG